TAGGCATAGACGTTGGTATGATTGTGGAAATATCTATGTCTTTCACCAGTTTCGACGGAGCAGTTAACCTGCAACAGTGTACAATACATTCCTTTCTCTAAATTTTATCTGATTCCGTCCTGTGCAGGGAAGGGAGGGGAGCGCGTAATTCATCTAACATGCAGAGCATATACAGCTTAGATACGGTAGCAGCCAGTGGGATTTTAAAACGTCTACATCATATATTGTCAACGCGATTCCATATATGCCAATAAAACAATACATTTCTTTGGTAAAAGCTGACTTCTCTTTCAAGGTCTTCAACAATTTAGCGTCGGGAACATTAGTATGTGTAGGAAAGATTAACAAAAGAGCATATTTCACTGGAAACAATGATTTACGTATACCATTTTCAGAGTATTGCTAGTATTGTTATTATTGTTAGAATATTTTGTTTTTTTGAGTTTGCATTTTTATTAGCTTAAATTCGAGTTACAATAATTTACAAGGATTTTTTGGTACCATCGCAACATTTCTTTTAAATAATTTTAAAAATGACTATCTGACTTTGAGGAATCATTTGCATAGAACATAACCTGGTGAAATTTGATATAATTTAAATTTGTAAATATATCTTCGATTCCATAAACATTTGAACAAAGATTAATTAAAACATTTTAATCCGACTACTTTCCTGTTATTGCATGTAAGACACTACATATACATATAAAGCAGATTGTATGCCTAATGTTGTACTAGTTTCACACACACAAAACAACATTTTTAAAAGGGCACGTAATGACACTTACAAATAAAAAAATGCAATGGATTCATCTGAGGCAGCATGTAGATTATAGGATATATCTGCAATGAAATATGCTGCTCAGAAGTCACTCGGAGCATCCACGCCGCAAACAAAAAAAAAACCAAAAAAAAACCAAAAAAATCCGGATGTCACACTATGATGATATGGATTCTTTGCGGCGAGAACACGCAGGTGCGACGCATATAGATGTCAGTACAATATATAGTTTAATTTAAACGAAATGCTCCCTATTGTGAAATTTATTGTTATAATTTAATAAAACCAATTATACAGTCACGTGTTTATTACTGACCAATATTATGACAATTTAGCCCTGTTTGATCATTATATATATATATATATATATATATATATATATATATATATATATATATATATATATATATATATATATAATTATTTATTGTGTTACAGATATCGACGTAGCAACGACGTTCACCATAGCAAGTGATGTAAACAATTATGTTTTTCTTGTTGACTTGTCGTAGATGTTATGATCCTCATGGCATACTATTGACATATGGGTTCACATTGAATTAAATTGAATTGGTCTTGGAAATTGTGAGTGGAACAAGAACGTGGACGTGTCAAGTTCGTCAAGATACTCAACAACGATGAAGAATACCATTTTTCCTTCACATGTTCTCTACAAACAGGAATTGGAAATTCTTTCATGGATAGTCGCGTTGTGCATTGACCAAACGAAGTAAATGGCAAGGAAATTACTAACGTGTAAACCTGATACATGAGCAGTAAGGGTGAAGAAGGTGGGGGTACTAATTCAAATTGGCCGGGAATGTGTGTTTTGTCTTGAAATATGGCTCAGGGAAATGTCAGTGTCATAACCCTAGGTTTGCAGTTCCCACAGCTTCTGGAATTCGAGAAATACCTGGATGTGATTAACAACTATCTCAGTAGTTACATGCAAAACATAAAAGTACTATCGAGTTTAATGAAGGACACACGGCACTAATTCAACTCCCATAGTAAACATATGGAAACACCCTCATATTCAATATTCAATACCTTAAAATGTATGGGTGCTGATTATCAGACCTATATTTATCCATGCACAACTATCCTCGGTGCAAACTTGTGTGGAGAACACCATATGAGCCACGTTATTTGTGTATCTACATGCGCAAGAAACACGTTATTGATTCTGCACCAAACGAATTAGGTGCTACTTTCATTCTTGAGTACTCCTAAGTCATGTCTGAAAAAATTCTAAAATTGCATGAATAAAATTTTGCCTATTTTTTTAAATTACAGATAGGATAAGCTCTCAAAAGATATTTGTTATTAAAATTTTACTTTTCATTATTAACCAATTATGGACCAACAAACCTACATATACTCTACCATTTCTTCACACATTTCTAGAAAGTTCCATATTTCTTCCATATAATTAGTACCGTGTGTCCTAGAACCAGATCAAAGTTATTTTATTTAGAAAGACATGTTTGTTTTTATTCATTGATAGTGTAAGATGAATGAAAGAAAGAATTGGCCATACTTGTGCCAATATAATAGTGCAATGGAATTTTACCTGATACAACTATATATAGCTGAATTGCATCCGCATAGCATATTGATGTTGTGAATTGCACTTATAGTGGTTTATTCTTGTTATTAAAAAATTGTCTTCGGCCTTTGTATCTTAATGTTATATTTCTATAGCATGCTTGCTACAAAAAAAACACACAAAAATGCTGACATCAACAAGTATGACATCAAGAGGTATCAATTTACATAACTCAATGTGTTTTCATCTCTCACTGGCTATAAGGCAAGTTTTAAATTTCAAAACTGCATTTATTTTCTTTCTGGCTCTCATAAAAATAAGATACAGTGCATATGTATTCCTATCATTCAGAGAAAACCAATAAGTGTGCCACATGACAGATCAAAGTGTTAAAATCCATTGCCTTCTGTGACTAAAATAAATGCACTCAAGACATGTTGACACTCCTAAACTAATTATACTATCAACACATCTGATTCATCACCCCCAAATATTAACAAAAATGTACAAAAGGCAAAGAAAAGTTCCATAAGTTTTATTATACTGTAGAATTAATTAACTGAGTACTACTTTTTCGTATAAAACTGTGGAAATGGGTAAGGAAGTAAATAATAGACACTAATTTCTTCAAGCCTGGCAATGTTCCCCAGAACAAAAGAAAAACAAAATGTGCATCAACACAAAATACATAACCATTTGAAGTCTGTTACATAATGACAACAAGAGACAGATTTGAAAAAGTAATGCAAAAATCATATAATGCTGACATTGCTGTTGGAGACGGAAAGCCTTTGTGCAGACTGCTGCGGCCCATGCAAGAAGTAAACTGGAGGTGGAGAAATATGTGGAAAACTTTGCAATGCCAGGGTAAGTCCCTGTTTGTAATCAATATCCAGATACTAATACAATTTATCGCTGCATGAACTACTTGGTAAATTTAAGAAAAAGAAATTAACTGAATATTAAAGTTGTCTAAGACATAAATTTATACCGATATTTATACAAAACTAATAATTTAAGCAAAGCCTCAACATCATTATTATGGCTACATCAGTGATAAATTACTTACTTTTCAATATAAAGCTGGATAAAGTTAAAATACAAAACATATTGCAAAAAAGAGAAACAACGCAAACCTTGCAATTACTAAATTACAGTCAAAGGGAGGTAATACACCTTGATTTGGCAAACAAAGTAGCAAGCTCTAATTTACAACTAAATGATTTTATACTATCACTTTATGATTAGTGCAGAGCAGGTATATATATATATATATATATATATATATATATATATATATATATATATATATATATATATATATATATATATATATATATATATATATATATATCTATATATATATATATATATATATATATATATATACATTTTATTTAAGTGATTATAAATTAACTGTATATATATATATATATATATATATATATATATATATACATATATATACATATATATACATATATATACATATATATATATATATATATATATATATATATATATATATATATATATGTATATATATATATATATATATATATATATATATATAAATCTATATATACATATATATACACATATATATATATATAGATATACATATATATATACACATATATATATATATATATATATAAATATATATATATATATATATATATATATATATATATATATATATATACATATATATACATATATATACATATATATACATACATATATATATACATATATATATATATATATATATATATATATATATATATATATATATATATACATATATATATATATATATATATATATATATATATATATATATATATATATATATATATATATATATATATATATATATATATATATATATATATATATATATATATATATACGTGTGTGTGTGCATGCTCCATAACAAAAGCGCGCAATGCTAAACAGCCTCGACGAAATCGCGTAGGTATCAATTATATCTTATTTTTGTAATATTTGGTATTACATAGAAAAACTAAGTACTCAGAAACTATTTTAAAAGTGATGTTCTTATATTAAATCGGAGTTTTAATTTTTTTTATTAAATAAACAAATTATATAATTGTTAAAATAAATAGTATTTACAATTTTTCAAGCTGTATGTTTAAATTTAGCAGTTTATCATACCAATATTATCCTAAGCAAATAAATTGTATAAATGTTTTAAAAAAATAGTATTTAGTATTTGCTTTTTATGTCTGAATAATATTAGCCTTTTTAGTTATTTATATCTTTGTCTTTGCTTTGATTTACTGAATGTGTCTCTAAAGTTAAATGAACAGTATTTAAAGAAAGGTAATTGTGACATAAGTGGCTTATATTTAAAATCTTTCCCCACCCCTTTTTGGTGTGTGTGTCTGTGTGTGTGTGCGTGTGTGTATGTGTGTGTGATTTAGATTTTTAACGTAGCTTTAACAATTTTTCAGTCATATCGCTACGATGTTTGCAGTGTGACAGTTTATATTGATGTATATCACTGGGGAATTGTGCCGCAGACATGTGGCATGATTTTCCACCCAGTCACATTATTTTGACACCAGGCCAGCCAGTCCTAACACTAACCTCTTAATGCTGAGCGCCAAGCGAGGAAGCTGTTAGTACCATTTTTAAAGTCTTTGGTATCACTCTGCTGGGGTTAGATCCCACGACCTCTCGCATCTGAGGCGGACGCTCTAACCACTAGGCCATCTCTTTTTGAAAATTGTTGCATATATTAAATGGTCTTTAAGTATACAGGCCGAACTGTTGGCACCAGCATATGAAATTCAGTGATGGGGCCATACTTCTCTCTTTTTTTCATAGTCTGTGCTATCTACTCTACCTGTTCAGTGTAAACAACCCTTCCCATCTGTGTATTGTATACAATATCTTTACAAAAACACATGCAAACCAAGAAAAAAGATTTCATTATGATTGTCATATACAAAAACCAACATGATACCCTTGGTGCACGTGGTAACCATAGAAACAACAAGCTCATATTATCGTATGGGTCGCATATAGGACTCAGGGTAATAATTCAGCTCCCATAATACGCATCTGGAAACACCATCATATTCAAAATTCTATAACATAGAATCTCTGGGGGCGGATGATCAGAAGTATTTCTCCATGCACACCTATCCTTGTTGCAAACATCTGTGAGGAGAACACCATACGAGCCGGAGAATTCTTTATCTACGTGTGCATTAAACGCATGTTATTGAATCTGCACCAAATGAATCAGGTGCTACTTTCATTATTGAGTACTCATAAGTCAAGTCTGTAAAACTACTAAAATTGCATCAATTTAATTTTGCATATATATATATATATATATATATATATATATATATATATATATATATATATATATATATATATATATATATATATATATATAAACATACATAGACAAATATATACATATAAACAGTTTATATATATATATCTATCTATCTATATATATATATATATATATATATATATATATATATATATATATATATATATATATATATATATATATATATATATATATATATAAGATAAGATGAGATGAACAATGACCCAGATACTGGAATAATAATAAAACTTGCTCAGTATTGAAAGAACTGCAAAAATCAATTCTTGATTTTGACATTAGAAAATGTAAAATTCTTTCAAATTAATTAATTTAAAGGAAAATATGCCTCTAGCATATTTTGTTTGCTTAATTGATGAAAGTGTCATCAGCTGTGATCGAAATAATGATTTTAGTTAGTGACATTTCAAGTTTGTAAAATCAATGGTTTTGAGAATGTATGCACATATCATTGCTGATTTAACAAGCAGAAACGTTTGAACAAAAGTTTAAAATGTTGACGCCAAAAAGAAAATTTTGACATGTCATGATTTAGCGTACTCTATGATATCAGCATTTGTACGTTCGGCATTTATGTCATATACAGGCATAATGTTTATGTATGATCACATAACGTCGGGAAGTCCTTGAGCCATATGGAACACCAACAGTAACATGCAAAGAATCCCTAATACAGGCAGTAAAACATACCTTTTGAGGTCTCAAATTATTAAAATGAACATCCATAACATGTCTACTTTCTTAAGAAGAATGTTATGACTGACCAGATCTTTACTAAAATAAAATACGATTACCTTTATTAACATCCAGATATGTATGAAAATATGCCATGTTTGTTAAAGCTGTATGACAGGAGTGGATCTGTCTGAAATTTGTCTGAGTTATGGATAGCAAACTATTTGTTGATTACAAGGAACAAAAATTTATATAGACGTACGGGTTGAGTAGATTAGTTGTATTAACAATTTAATCGTGTATAGACAAGTGATTCGAGTAGGTTATTTTGTAACACTTTGATCACGTTGGAGGACAATAGGTGAAGAATTAAAGATTTGTTGATAACCAAGGTGTGGTTGCTAAAGTCAGAAGATGGGTTACAATAGATGCCTTAAACAAGAATTGTTGTTGTTGTTGTTATTGTTGTTGTTGTTGTAGGGCTTAACACCATTTTTTAGCAAACGATAGGCTATACATGGCGGCCAGTATTAATGGTTGAGGAAGAACCCGAGAAACATCAGAAAGAACCACCGACCCACGAAAAGTTACTGGCAAGTTTTCTGACATCCTCATTGGCCGAATCTGAGATTAGAACCCACGCATACAGTGGTGAGATTGTCGTGATCCTTAACGGAGAGCGCTTTAGACCACTAGGCCACTCGGGGCCCAGAACAAGAACTGTAAATGGTATTACATGAAAATCAGTGTGAAAAAGACTAACGTCACAAGAGTATGTAGAGTCGGAACCAACCATCTCAATATCACATTTGATGGTGAACAAGGTGAAAAAGTGAGAAAGTTCATGAAGAAAATGTGAAAAACGGACTGGAATCACAAAGGATTTGTTTAACAGGAAGAAAGAATTAATAACGCAGAATATTAACCAGAATTTGAACACAAAGATTTTCAATCCCATGGTAGGAAGCATAGCATTAATGGATCAAAACTTCGAGTCTTAAGGAAGGAAGGAAGAAAGGAATGAAGAAAGAATGTTATACGCTTTTAAGATGTAGATATGTATGTAGGCGAGGGAGACAGACAGCTGGAGTGACAGGACAACAAATGAAGAGTTAATGTTTAGTTTGTGAAATGAAACGATTGTTGAAATTAAAATTTGGAGAGAAAGAACATATGGAGAGACATATTTTGAGATGGGAAAGCCTATTAAGAGAAGTAATCGAAAAGAGTATGAATGGAAATCGATCAAGAGGGAAAGCACGAAGTATGCATCTGGATGACCTCAAACATGTAGTCATATCAAGTGTACAGGGACATCAAGAGAAAATGGAAAAGGTGGATGCCTCGTGCAGTATTGCACAAATCTAGTGAAGGAATGAAGGAATGAATGAATCACCTTATCTGTTAATAAATGTTAAAAGCATTCAACTTAAATTTGCATGTGTTAACAACTCGTTTCTGGGTGGTTGTGATAGCAAAATATTTTGACTAATGAAGTCTAAGTCTTGTAAAATTATGAAAGGAAACAAAGCCTGATTTGCAAGAAAAAAGTGCTGAATTGATGGAAATATTAAATCATGTTAATAATAATAATAATAATAATAATAATAATAATAATAATAATAATAATAATAATAATAATGATAATAATAATAATAATAATAATAATAATAATAATAATAATAATAATAATAATAATAATAATGATAATAATAATAATAATAGTAGTAGTAGTAGTAATAATAATAATAATAATAATAATAATAATAATAATAATAATAATAATAATAATAATAATAATAATAATAATAATAATAGTTTCACAAAGCTTTCTTTGCTTACTTTAAGCAGATTATGCACAATGGCGGTAGCATCGTTTCACAGGAAAGGTCAAATATAAAACATTTCACTGTAATTTACAGACGCTTAGAGCGGCATCGGAGTGGAATAGTGGTCTAAAGCGTTGACATTTACGGATCACTGCCATCTCACCTCCGTCTGCAGGAGTTCGAGTCCATGCTTGGCTAACGTGGGTAAGTGGGAAAGCCAATCAGTAGCTTCTCTTTCGAAAAAAAAATAGATTTTGCCCTAAAGCTGAGGCAGTCGATGCGTGTACTGTGGCGTATATCGAATGTTTTCCCTAAAGCTGCGGCAGTCGATGCGTTTTCTTTGGAGTATGTCGAATTTTTGCCCTAAAGCTGCGGCAGTCGATGCGTTTACTGTGGCATATGTCGATTTTTTGCCCTAAAGTTGAGGCAGTCGATGCATTTACTTTGGCGCATGTCGGATTTTCACTAAAGTTGAATGTGCCAAGTTGACGCATGCATGCGCCACTTTGGTGTATTGATATAATGCACTTAAACTTTGAATTTGCATGAGATGTGGAATCATGCCTGTCACTTGCCAGATCCAATTCTTTCATTTTAATTTGATATTCTTTTTCATCCTTTTCTTTTTGCCTCTGTCTATTTCTTTCTTTCTTTAAGTTTCATTTCATCCTTTTGTAATTCTACTTACCTATCTTTTTCCCTTTTTTTCAATTTGTATTTGTCGTTCCCTTTTTATTTGTACTTGCATTTTTCCCTCTCTTCAGTTTGTCTTTCTTTTTCCCAATCTTCTATATGTATTTGTCTTTCTTTTGCCCTTTCTTCAATTTGTATTTGTTTTTCTTTTTCTTAAAATTATAATCTCATTTCTTTTTTTTAAGTTCAAGTTGTTCTTTTTGTAATTGTATTTGTTCTTTTTGCAATTCTATTTGCCTATCCTTTTCTTTTTCGTCTTTTTCTAATTGTACTCTCTGAAACTCAAATTTATATTTCAATATTAGTTATGCCATTTTAATGTCAGCATCGGTTAAACTCTTACTGACAGATGCCAAAATACTTTTGTCAAAGACTTTCTTTTCTACCAAATGTTAAACTATAATTTTCTTGATTTCTTGTTTAGTTAAAGAAGATTTTGCTTCAGTTAATTCATACTTTCTGGCAACTTCAAGCAATTCATCCTTGTTGAAACTCTTCAACTGTTCCTTAGATGGAGTAGAAAGAAAACTCTCCACTTTTGATATTTTTGAAAAGAAAGCCTGTTTTTCACTAAAATTTCAAATAAAGTATACAAGGGGAATTTCAATTTCAATTTTTTAGCCAATTTTAAATATCCTAAAGGACGAGAAGCCTAATTTATTTTATGTTACTTATCGGCTCGTTCAAAGTAACATAAAGAAAGAGTGAAGACAACAAGCTTTAAATTTTAACAAAAATAATTTATTTTCCTAAAACAATGTCTTTGTCCCAAATCAGTAATGTTGTTCTCCAGCTTGAGACGGGCGATAGCTGTTCAATGAGACCTGTTGGTCTCCCCCACCGTCGGAAGAAACCACTGGCGTCTAACTCTAGGCCAATCGAGTGGTGAATTTTAACCTGTAACTGTTGCTTCCCGTGTTGTATCGACGCTATGAAAGCGAAGCTCGAGTGTCATCTCCAGGGCACAAGCCTGGGCAGGGTGATAGGGAGAATCAGCTGTTGCTCATGCAAATGACTCCCCCTCTTCGCAGCTGATAGTTCCAAGGGAAAGGACAAGCCGATACGTCAAGGCGCCAGCGACGTCGCAGGAGTTGTCGAGATGACACTAAAAGTAGTGCCAAGTTGCCTTAGGAAATCCGTCTCCGAATT